TTTCTTCTTGCATCGCCATCATCCACAGTGAAGCATCAGAGCTGTTTATTGCCTCCTGGTATGTTGATGGTTCACCGTCCTCTGTTAAAAGGCAATATGCAACATTTCTTTCATTAATATAATCTGAGTGCCAATTGAGATGTCTTCTCACATAATCTGATTGACGAGTTGTTGGAACTTCAGAACTCTCTGGTTCTTGTTCGTCATGTGCTGGTTCTACTTCAGAAGAATCTCCTTGTTCAACCTCTTTTTCCACATGTATCTGTGTAGTCTCTGACTTTTCAGTGCTATCATCATCTTCTTTTCTTTGTAGTTTATCTTCTACAAAGATAACATCCCTCTTGATGATCACTTTGCGGGCAGTGGGATCCCACAAGCGATACCCCTTGACTCTATCAGCATACCCCAAGAATTTGCATTTCCTGGATTTTGGATCCAGCTTTGAGATTTCTTGGGAGTTGTACATCACGTACACAATACTTCCAAATACATGGAGATTTGAATAATCAGCTGGTTTACCAGTCCACATCTCCATTGGTGTCTTCAGCTCTATTGCAGTTGATGGAGCTCGATTCACCAAATAACAGGCGGTATTGACTGCTTCTGCCCAGAATGATTTTTCTAGGCCTATTTCCCTCAACATTGCTCTTGTTCTTTCTAACAAGGTTCTGTTCATCTGCTCTGCCACTCTATTTTGTTGAGGAGTGTTCGCCAATGTGAACTGTCTTTTGATGCCTTCTTTCCTGCAAAAGTCATCAAATTCTTCGCTTGTGTATTCTCCTCCATTATCTGTTCTGAAACACTTGATCTTATTTCCATAATCAAGTTCTACCCGCGCCTTGAAGTTTTTGAAATTTGAAAAGACATCTGACTTCTTCTTAATAGGGTACACCCAACATCTCCTGGAGTAGTCATCAATAAATGAGACAAAGTATTTTGCTCCGCCTAGGGATGTAACTGGTGTTTGCCATACGTCAGAGTGAACCAATTCTAGAACACTTTTGCCTCTAGAATTTGATGTGTTGAATTTCAATCGGTGCTGCTTACTTGTTATGCAATGCTCACACAAAGTAAGTGATACCTTCGTTAAGCCTGGAAGTAGATTTTGTTCCACAAGGACTTTCATTCCTTGTTCTGACATGTGTCCAAGTTTCTGATGTCATAGCATTGCAGAATCTGAACTACATGAGGCAAAAGAGGCTTCTGCTTCTAACAAAGTCTCCCCCTTGAGCATGTATAAGTTTGTTGCTATCTTTTCGCATTTCAGTACCACAAGCGCTCCACGGAACACCTTCATGATTCCTTTCCGTGTTTCAATCTTCCTTGCATTATTATCCAACAATCCGTAGAATAATAAATTTTTCTTCAGGCCTTTCACGTGCCGCACATCTCGAATAACATTAATTGTTACATCATACATCTTCAATTTGATGGTTCCCACGCAATGATCTCTAAGGCATGATCATTGTAACTATACACAGATCCTCTTGAGACAGGTTCATAATGATGGAACCATTCTCTTCTTGAGGTCATGTGGTATGTCGCTCCCGAATCAATGAGCCATATATCTGCAAATCTTTTTCTGCCTTCCACGGTGGTTGACGCTTCACAGCATAGAGCATCTCCATCATCTGAAGTGTTTGCGGTATTGCCTTGTGGATTGGAGTTTTTATTTAGACTCTAACAATCCTTCTTCAAGTGACCCTTCTTTCCACAGTTGTAGCACTTTAAATTCTTCTTGCTCCTCAACTTCGATCTACCATGTTTGTGACTGCTGCTTTGGCCATGTTCTGTTGATCTCCCTCTCATCATTGTCAATGCTTCTGCTTGTTGCAGATTTACTTGTCTATCTTCCTTGTTCTTGCGCCGATTTTCTTCTTGTAGAACAGCAGCAGCAACGTCATCGAAGACTAGACTGGTGACATTACTGTTTGTCAAGTTGATGATGAGTTGATCATACGAATCCGGTAGACATTGAAGTAGAAGTTCAGCAAGTTCTTGTTCTACTATTTTACAGCTAAGGATGTAAGCTGAGAAAATAAAGTGTTCAGTGTGTTTAAGTGCTCCGTCAGTGAAGTAGATTCTGACATCCGGAGAGTGTACAATTTTCTCTTCAGGAAAATTTTATTGTGCAGCGATGTGGCCTCGTATAATTTGGTGAGATGATCTCATATATCCTAAGCTGTCTTTTTCTCCTCGATGCTTGACAATACTTCATATGCTAATGCAAAGTTTGCCATAGCATTTCCGTCCATTTCGATCCATTTGCTGTCATCTGCAAAATCCATCGGCCTTTCACTGATAGCCGCTAGACACCCGTCTTTCCTCAGGATGGCCTTCATCTTTAATTTCCACAATGAGAAATTTCTCCCATTGAATTTTTCAATATCAAATTTCGTTGCCATATCTTCAATTACGGATAGCTCCCACTATTCCACTATCGTGAATAGTTCTCTGGAACCTTCAAAGAATGGGTAATACCTTCTTCCTTTCTTATGTTGGAGGATCCACCTTTTGGTGGCAACCACAAAGACAATAAGAAGATATTACACACTCTAATCTGGCTCGTATACCAATTGTTGTGGAAGACGGCTATCGGATAGAGCAAAATCGCAACTGATAATTTGAGAAAATAAAAATGAAGATAAAAGAGACACAAAATTTACGTGGAAAACCCCTAAATAATATAGGGTAAAAACCACGGGCAACGGTAAAAGAATTTCACTATGAGAAAATAGGAATTACAACTTCTCTCGATCGACCAAGGAGAAAACAATGATAATTCTCTCTTGATAAAAAGGAGAAAACAACTCTCAAGAAACTCTCTAAATTTTCTCTAGTATTGGAAGAAAGCTAGAATGCTTTGGGATGGTTTTGAAGCTAAATGAGATAAGGTATTTATAGTTGAAGCATAATGACTAATTTGTAAATACCCTAAAATTTAATGACTAAATTTTAATAATTTTACCATACAAAAATAATAAAATTTAAGCCATTTTTTTGACCATTAAGCCGCCTCACTTGGGCTGCTATGACTTTCAGCATTCTTCACACAATTTTTTTTTTTTGAAAATAGCATTATGAAGTACATTAGAAGAAATAAAGTTCCGAAAATCATAATCAAAAGCAAAAAGTTCGTGGTGGACGACCATCGAAGCAAGAGCATGAGCGGTGGTATTTGTTGAACGTTGAATAGAGCAGACATCAATATGAGGAAATGAATTCAAAATTTGGCGTGCCTCAACAAGATAATAACTCGCCACGAAGAGATCAATGCGGAGTTAAGTAGTTGCTGGACCAAATTAGAGGATCACTCTCGACAATCACTTGGGAAAAATGAAGTTAAATAGCAAGGCGGATTCCGGCTGTAATAGCAGCGGCTTCAACTAGGGTCACCATGATCGGCCACCACTTGTGTTGGACCAGCAAGGACAAACATTGAACAAAGCACTTTTTCCTTTTAACAAAGAGACAGTAGTCGGGACTTGAGGATGATGAAAGGGGTTGTAGATACTCTCAATGTTACTTTCTCAAAACATAAATGCCCCAGTCAACTGGGTTACTTATATGTCAGTTCGAGACCCATGGGTTAATGAAACTTGGATTCAACTTTGTTCGCCGAGCATGTTGGAGAATGTCTCAAAGAAGAAATTGGATATTTCCACAAAATCTTGTCATGACATCATTTTTCTCTTTAAATGTTATCTTTACATTTGCTATTCCTTTATGAGTACATGGAAATCGTGACGGTAGACGATTATGATTTCTGGTTTATGAGGTTCTTGAATCACCAGAAAGCTTTCAAATAACTTCAGCAAACAATCTCCCAAAGACTAGTGCATAACTTTCTAGGTGGCTAACAAATATGTTCTCCTCTGTTTCATCAGATTGTTTTTGTTTCACCAAAACACCCTCCATCCTGCTGCACCAGCTTGTATTGGCATGTATGGTGCTCCAACCATAGGGAAACCGGTATACGATCCCCCTTGTCCCAGCAGTTGTCCTGCAACATACCCAATGCTGCATACTTCTCTGCTGCATCCATTATAATTAGAATAATCAATGCTCAGAAGTTTCGTGGGAAAAACAAACTCTTAAGTCTTTTTAACATATTTTCTTATTATGAGCAGCATATGTGAGAACATGATTATTCATGAAAAACTTATATAAAGAACTGAATATGCTCGTATCTGCTTTCGCTCTCGAATCCGAGTAACAAAGCCTAAGAATAAACTGCTATATTAATGATATTGTTAAGGAGCAGTTGTTGGTTTCCTGATCTGCTAAGAAGTCGAACTATATTATGCTGCGATTTATTATCAACGTGGTTATGATGGTAATAGGAGCATTGAATTCTCCCCAAAAATATGTAAACATTTTTCTGCCAATGGTTTTTCCCAAGTATTTGTTGCAGACTGAAGTACTATAGTGAACTTTGAAGTCCAGAAAGTTACTAAAAAATAAATCAAATTTTATGGATAGTACCTGTACTTTATGCAGATTGCGGAAATAGTACTTATACTTTAATTTGAGTATTTTGATCCCTCTACTTTACATGTTTAGAAATTTCAACCCTACTATCATCTGCTATTTGCATTTTCCGTTAGGTGTTGTCGATTTTTTAACCAAAACTTTGTTGAATTCATTTGAAGATTCAGGACCTGGAAACTTATATATCTAAAAAATGTTCCACCTTCACTCACTGCATGATCATATCTTTTAACCATGAAGTTTGTTCCTCAAATCTCTACCTTTTCTTTCTTGTATTAGTATTAAAGCAGAGGCAGACATCAGAAAGCTACAATGCCAACTCAGAAAAGCATCAAATCCATGATGTCTGTTAGGATCTTTTCTGGTTTTAAAAAGGTTGTCTCAACTAATCAACCTTTTCATTTTTGCTTTTAAATATTATCTTTATCCTTTTCTGATGAGCAATAGGTGACTCATACAAACAAAAAAGTCATGTTCAGCCATCCCTTTAAATACCATTACCCAAATCCAAAGTTTCATCAATCATCACAAAATAAAACATCTCTTCCTTTATCATAGAAGCTGAGAGAAAACAAGATTTCCATTTCATTCATCAGAAAAATGAAGATCCATATGCCTGATCAGGTTATTGGAGTTCCGATGAAATCCTCAACACATCGAATTGAGGGAACATCGAGATTCTACTTACCGGATGCTGCTGGCCAGTATCGAATTCCATCACCTGTTGAAGGGTCTAACACACTTAGAAAAAGTAGGTGCTCTCATTTAATCCGTCAAGGGTTTTGAAACTCATAATGAAGATGTTTTATAGCGCTAATGAGAAATTTTTGGAATTTCAGGCAAAGGAAACTTTGTACTTAAAAGGATGAACAAGGTTGGGAAGAAGGCTGATACTTTTGCACATGGAATCCGGGAACTTGGTATGATATACTCTAAAGTCTAAACATATCATTTATACGTGTGTATGAAAACTCAAGTTACTTTTGAAAATGCAGTGAGGCTGGGGCGAAAGATCAGTGAAACAGTGAAGGGAAAGTTGAGTTTGGGGGCAAGAATTCTTCAAGTAGGAGGTGTGGATAAGATATTCAAACAATTGTTTAGTGTTGGGGAAGGAGAGAAGCTGATGAAGGCATACCAATGCTATTTGTCAACAACAGCAGGTCCTATAGCTGGTTTACTTTTCATCTCATCTCAAAAGGTTGCATTTTGCAATGATAGATTGATCAAAATTCCTTCTCCTAATGGAGAATTCCTCAGAGTCCATTACAAGGTTGGAGTATAATATATCAGTTTTTCTCTTTCTCAGACTGTATAATTTTTTTCTCTTCAATTCTCATGTTGTATATCAATTTTGATGCAAGTTTTGATCCCACTTGAGAAATTAGGGGAGTTAATGAGAGTGAAAACATGAAGGAACCATCACAGAAGTACATGGAAATTGTGACAGTAGATGATTTTGAGTTGTGGTTTATTAGGTTCTTTAATCACCAAAAAGCTTTCAAATACCTTCAACAAGAAATCTCCCAGAGACTACTAGATGACGTACTACAAGTCACTTTCTAGGTGGCTAACAAACGTGTTCTCCTCTGTTGCATCAGATTTTTTTGTTCATGAAATGTGGTATAGGATTTTCTTATTTGAATGTCCTGGAACTATGTCATCATAGGAATACTGACTCAAATGGCAAGTCATGCACAAAAATTACTTAATTCTGTTTTGCTCCATGAACAATGACTGGCGGTGATCTAGCATCCACAATATCATCAGTTTTGGCAATGGAGATATTTCAGCACCCCAAGAGTCAAACCAGATCAATTGAATGGAGCCTCGTCTGGAAAATCAGCTGAACAGCTTCCTAAATATCCTGCTGCACCAGCTGATGTTGGAATGTATGGTGCTAGAACTATAGGGCAACTGATACAAAGTCCCCTCTTTTCTTGGTAAATGGCATGTCAGTGAATCTTCCTGCCCGGGACACGGCTTACTGAGCGAGTGCTCTTGTACCAGGAGTGGTGGTTCTCAGTGCAACGATGAACATGGATCCTGCGAGGTGCCTAGTGCTGCCTACACATTCTCTTAGGTAAAATTCTGTTTAGCTGCCAAATGTACAAAGGACAGAAGACAACTAGCTTATGCCGATATCAGGTTTTCCAATTCAGCCTGAATAAGATTTTCTTATTTGCAAGCACAAAAGAAGTTTGTGTTAATTTTTCATTTGTTTAATCTAAATTAGCCATAGGGATAGTACTTATATGTTTCTTCCTGTATAGGCCAATGTGGTAAAAGGAAAATGTAAAATAAAGTATAATTTTATTAATAAATAAAGATAGTTTAATCAAGCAAAATCAGCAATATTGCAAAAAGCTCCATTTCCTGATATCTAAAGAGCATAAAGCAAAATCAATCCTGTTACAAAGCTACATGACCATCCAAGGTTCATCAGGTTTTAGCACCAGCAAACAGCAAGTTCAAAATCCGGTTCGATAAAAAGATTCGCCTTTCATTTGCATTCGGTTTCAAGAGAAACATCTAAAGCCATTTTGATAGTATAAAGTTCACAAAGTCTAGGGGCCAGAGTCATCACAGACGACAGAACCAAAGAATAAGGCCGGCCTCTCCTGAAAATTGAAAATTACTATATATTTTCTATTGAAAATCTATTTTCGCCAACTAGAATTTATAAATTCGTCCTTCTTAAAATTTTATAAGTTCACCCGCTCTTAACATAAAATTCTGCCTCCGTCCCTGGAATAAGGTAAACAATACCCTTTTTATTTCTCATAAGACCACCTATACCTGCAGTGTGGGATGAGAATATCATCAAGCCGACCAGATTAATATTCAAACTTCCAACTGGAGATTTTTAGAAAACCAGAAAATTGGTGCTGAAGACAATTCAACAAGAAAGATGACAGTTTAAGAGGGAGACACCATGATAGATTCCACCACTTCAAGAAGTCATACCAAATCCTCAATCATTCACAACCATATAAAGATCATGTGTCCACGACATAATTTTGCACCAAGCACATTGAAGCAAATATAAAAACAGCTTTCTGGCACCTCTTTGTTTCCACAGTTGAATGAGTGATCTGGGGGCATTGCAAACCAAGTTGAGGCAGATTAGTGACTTCTATATTATTAAGGAACAAATGTTGGTTTCGGCGAGGTAATCATTATATGAGGTTGATCCGCTAAGAATTTGAGCTGAATTATGTTATGCTGCAGAATTTGAAGGTAACCATGATCTCAGATATGTAGCCATACAATTCTCATGCATGTATTGAGTTCTTTCCCAAAATTATGTACATCATTTCTTTTCCAATGAGTTTTGCATAAATATTTCTCCAATGTCATCATGCCATGGACTAATTCCTTTTATGTACAGATGTGGCATCATGGTATATTTCTTTAAGCTTTGAAAAAAACAAGCCATGGACTAATTCCTTTTATGTTAAGTAAAAGCTATATTATCCATTGTGTAATGACTGTTTTTTTGGGGCAATGGGAAGCAAGTTTAGGCAATCTTTCATCTGCATGGCCTAGTGCCATTCATTTCCACCTCAGATGAGCCATGATTCAGTGCCTTTTCAATAGAGGCTTCTTATAGTCATAAATGGACCCTCTTGCTCATATTTTGAAGTTTCTTAAGTTTGCTTATCAGTTTCCTCATGATCCTTTGCTGATGGAATGGGGGAAAAGGCAAATAAAATGAAGATCATCACTGCAATCCTTGACTTTTAAATGATCAAATGGTGAAAGAGAATGGAGAGGGAAAGAGATTATCGAGATAAATGTTTGTTGGAGATTGAAGTACTGTAGTGACCTTTAATGTTCTGAAAATGACTAAAAAAATTCACGTTACCAACTTTTTTGCAACACCATGAACCTAAGCTTTATTGAATTCATTTTAAGTTTCTGGATCTGGACACTTAATGCCATCATGCCAAATAGGGAATGATACTGATGTGGCATCCAGTAGGTATATTTCTTTAAGATTTGACAAAAACAAGACATGGGTTCCTTTAATGTTAAGCAAAAGCTTTATTATCCACAGTTGAATGAGTGATATGGGGGCATTGGAAACCAAGTTGAGGCAATCACTAATCTGCATGGCATACTGCCCTTTCATTTCCACATCAGCTAACCTATACTTCATTGCCATTTCAAAGGAGGTTCCTCGTGGTGACAGATGGGGACCCTCTTTCTCATATTTACAAGCTTCTCAAGTTTTCATATCTGTTAGGAAATAAATTGAGTACGAGTAATTTCCCTATAACCAGATTAGTGAGAATGCGAAATAAAAGCAGAAAAATAATACCCGAAATTGATAACGGAGTTCAGCCGATTATGCTTACGTCTCCGGACTGCTGCAGATCTTTCACTAAGAGAGAAAATTTATAGGTGTTTACAAAACACTCACTACTCACAAGAAAACTCTCTAGTATTTGGGAGAAAAAAATGATTTTTGGGATGGATTTGAAGTTAAATGAGCTAGGGTATTTATAGTTGAAACTTAAGGACTTAATCATGTAAATACCCTAAAGTCTAGTGACTAATTATGATTATCTCATTACAATATTTCAACAAACATCTACCAAACTTTGAAAAACCATTTTTAAAGAAACATTTACCAAACTTTGAAAACCATTTTTTCAAAGTTGGTTGCCAAACTTTGAACTTTTAATTTGGTGCATTGCTTGACTTTCAACAATCTCCCACTTGAAGACTGATTTTAATCTGTTTTCACACATCGATCAATGTAACAACATTTCTGGTCTTGTTACTCCAGCATGCCAACTGAAGTTGAACACAACTTCAGTTTGTCCGTGGTCACTGTCTTTGTCAACATGTCTGCCGGATTTTGAGCTCCACTAATCTTTTCAAGTTTCAAAATCCCATCTTCCAGAAGAGATCGGATAAAATGATACCGTAATTGTATGTGCTTCATACTGGAATGAAAAGACGGATTCTTTGCTAGATGGATAGCACTTTGACTGTCGCAATACAAGATTGCCTGACTCTTCCAAGAAACTTTAGAGCCAAACCATCTCCTTGCTGGCTTCCGTAACAGCGACATATTCTGATTCAGTTGTGGAGAGAGCAACTATCTTTTGTAGTTGAGAAACCCAACTCACTGCAGTACCTCCTAGAGTATAGACATACCCTGTAGTGCTCCTTCTGATGTCAATATTTCTGGCTAAGTCAGCATCTACAGAGTCTGTCAGTATCGTATCTCCACCTTTGAAACAAAGTGCTTTGTTTGTGGTACCCCGCAGATATCTGAGGATCCATTTGACTGCTTCCCAATGTACCTTGCCTGGATTATTCATGTACCTGCTAACAGTTCCCACTACATGAGCAATATCTGGTCTAGTACATACCATGGCATACATCAGACTTCCAATTGCTGAGGCATACGGCACCTTTACCATGTGTACACGTTCTTCCTCCGTCTTTGGTGACTGTTCTTTGGAGAGTCTAAAATGAACACCTAAAGGTATACTTACTGGTTTAGCATCTTGCATGTTGAACCTGGATAGTACTTTGTTGATGTACTCAGCCTGTGATAACATCAAAGTCCCCGACTTTGTTTCTCTCTTGATCTTCATCCCAAGAATCTGCTTTGCAGCACCCAGATCCTTCATAGCAAACTGCTTCGACAATTTTTTCTTCAAGCGTATAATCTCTTGCATGTCTGAGCCTGCAACGAGCATGTCATCAATGTACAATAATAAAATAATGAAGCTAGTGTCGAACCTCTTGATGTAGCAACAATGATCTGCTTGGCATCTGGTAAAACCATTGCTACTCATGAAACTATCGAACTTCTTGTAACATTGTCTAGGAGCTTGTTTTAAACCATACAAGTTTTTCTTCAACCTGCATACCAGGTTTTTCTTGCCTGCCTCTATAAAGCCTTCTGGCTGCCTCATATAGATTTCTTCCTCCAAATCACCATGAAGGAAAGTTGTCTTTACATCTAACTGCTCAAGACGTAAATTCTCTGCAACTACAATTTTCAACACCAGTCTGATTGTGGGAAGTTTTACGACTGGAGAGAAAATTTCGTTGTAGTCAATACCTTCTTTTTGCTAAAACCTTTGACAACCAATCTTGCTTTGTAGCGTTTGCTCCCATCATGCTCTTCTTTGATCCTGTAAATCCACTTATTGTGGAGCTCTTTCTTGCCTGGTGGTAATTCAGCTAATTCCCACGTCTGATTTGACATAAGCGAGTCCATCTCATCTTTCATGGAAGACTCCCACT